ACTTGCCGACTACTGGAAGTCGGCTGCGGGGCTTTGCGCTTCTGGTCATTCTGCTGTTGCCGTCGACTGGTGTCTCCAGCCGGAGTTCTTGGAGCCTGAGGGGCAACTTTGCCAGTTGTGCTGACCCGAATCTCCGCCTTCATGGAGGAGTCGGCCGTGGTGTACTTGTCTGATGTGATCAGCAGGTCATCGAGGGTCTCCGGCTCGTCGCAGAGGAGCTTGTGCTTGAGGAGGGTGCCTTCTCTGCACCCGGCAGTAAAGTACTCGATGGCCTGCACCTCGTGCATGCCCTCGCAGGAGTTCTGGAGTTCGCCCCATCGCGTGAGGTAGTCGCGAGTAGACCCGATGTCTTGAAATGTCCTGGGGCTCGGGTTAGCCTACCCGTGGCCCATTACTCCGACAGTTACATATAAAGTTCATTTAATTCGGAGCTATGACCTAGAAGATATGAGCAAATCAAGTTAAACATGGCATTGATGAAAAATGCAAACAAACATCAAGAAAACACACCAAAACAAGGATGCAACATGATAATATGAAACTACATGCAAAATCAAGCAAGTTTCATATAGAGCACACTCAAAACGGAGCAACGGTTCAACACATACACTCTATACAAGTTATAGCGACAACCTGTCCAAAACAGCAACTAGGCATTTTGCAAGCATCAAAACGACAAGCTACAGCATCTCAACATAATAACAAAAGACATGGGCATGAAGTACAGGTAAAGCATAAAAAAACATGAACACTGAGCTATCTCCAGAAATCACTAAAACATGCTCAAAAGGACATGGCAAGATTGCAAATAATAACAGTTTCAGACTTATCAGGAAATAACATCAGGTTGCAATGTTTAGAGATATCAAACAACATGTTACATGAACTTATTATGGCAAACAAAAGCATGGAATGAATCTACTAAATCCATAGAACAAAAGTCCCTTACTGACCATGAGCCAAAAGGGCATATAAAATATGATGGCACCCATGTAAACATGGCAAAAGATATGACAGATTCATACATGGCAGGAACAACAATAAGTAGGCATGTTGGTGAGCTTGAACCACTCATCACAGAGCAATACATGGCATGAAAAGGCAACCAGCAGCAAGAAGACATTGTTTATGAAGCCAACCTTGGCAAGATCAAGTTCATAGGGTACATGGAGCACTAGCAAAACTCATGGCAAAACTGAAAATGTTAACAGGCTGACAGCAACATTATTTAGCAACTTGAGAGCAAGATTACAACAAGCTACAGCAGGCTATAAATGCAACCAAGGGCATGGATGGAAAGATCATGACATGCAAAATAAATCATCCTTATTGAACATTTCCAGATTATGCATATAATGACTTGTAGCAGCAGGTTTACATAGCATCATGATATTACAGAATCAGACTAGCAAAACAGCAACAGCAAGTACCCTACTTAACAAGCTTGATGCACTCACCACACAACTCACACAAATATATGGATAGCACCCCTGTAAATATGGCATGACATAGATCAAAACACATGTAGACACCAAGCTCATAGGATGCATACATCAAATGCAACAAAAATGACAAATCACCAAGTTATAACAGTTTTAGCAGATTAACATCATATAGCACTCTTGCAACAATGATTCAGGCATCAAGATGAGCTCAAACGAACATGGTGCAATGGAATGAAATGTAGATCATCTCTCAATGAACATTTTGACATATTATGCACGCAAAATGGAGCAGTACGCAAAGAGTTATGACATGTAGAACAGGGAACCAGAATGCTGAAAATCTCAGGGACAGGCAAAATTATACCTCCGCGAAAAGTAAACGCGGGATGGCGGGATCCGGGACGGGGGCGCGGGTGCATTTGGTTCGACTCCCAGTGGATCTCATCCACCCGGGGTAGATCCGGCCGGAGTGGAGCTCCAGTGAGCTCCGACTCCTGCAAGACGGCAGCGGGCGGTGCGGAGGCGGAGAGGCGCGGGAGGCGCGGGGAACCGGCGGCGGGGCGACGGGGGCGGCC